TGGGCAATATAGCGAGACCCTATTTATGTTAAAAATAAAATTAGAAAAGGAAAAAGAAAGTAAAAGAAAGTGGTGAAGTTAAATGGGTTGTATTAACTTAAAACTACTTGATGTTTCTAAAACCTACGACAACCAATCTTTTTGGCATCCTCCTATGTCCTCCCTTGAAATTGCTACCAGAGCTCCTTGACCTCTAACTTGGTGCCAGTATTAAAGTTAAAAGGTGAAATTGTAAAGTTCAGATATCTTATCAGCCATGTAAGCATCTATTTTGCATCTAAATAGATGGTACATGGAACACAATATTAGTCAGAATTAATCCAGAAACTTATATAATTTCAAAGAAAGTCTTTTAAAATCATACTCTTAGGTGTCACTGAAATTAAAAAGGCTTTTCACTGTGGACAGCTTCATTAGATACTATGATGACTGTACTCTGTTTGTTTGTTTGTTTTAAACAAGTGCACTTGGCAAATGACACCTACCAGAATGAAAAGAAAATTTGATTTTTTTTTTAAAACAGTGAAGTTAGTTTTAAAAACTTGAGTGGAAAATGAGTTAATATCAAGCATGTTATGACTTGAGTTAACTTTATTTTTGAAATTCTGGGTCAAGAATTTTTTCTTTAGCAGGAATGGGCATTTTGCAGATAGATTAGCTAATTTGCCAGCTGTTACAACCTTTTTAGTAAGTAAAATAAGTCGTAAATTGTTCAGGATGAAGAGACCTTTTTTAATCCAAAAGAATCCATGGTTCATTGTAATATAACAATTTTATCAGTATTTCTAATTCTGGTATCAGTCATGCATATTCCATGGTGCCATTTGTGTAATGTTACTACAACCCTATCTTGTCACTTTGTGATTTAATTTTTTTGCTCTGAATACTTCACATAAACATATAGAGGAGTAGCTGCTTAATTCCACAGATTTACCATAGGAGATACCATGGAGTACAGATGATACTTTTCTACAAAAATGATCTTTTATGGAATGTTTAATTCCTTCCCTATCCCAATCCCTCTAGAATTCTCAATTGATCATTAAATTCAGATGTACAAATTATGAGCAAATCCTCCCCAGAGACTTGGTTCAACCAAGAATTTTTTCTTAAGAAGCTTCAAAGATGAGGAAACTGACAAGTGAGACTTGTCTATGGAAATATTTCATGGAGAAGTGACTTTTTAAAAACAGCTTTTTGAAATATAATTCTTATACCATACACCTCACCCATTGAAAGTATACAGCCTGTGGCTTTTAGTAGATTTACAGAGTGCAACCATTACTACAATTTTAGAACATTTTTATTATCTCAAAAGGAAACCCCGTACCTGTTAGCCATCACTGTCCAATCTCCCCATTCTCTCCCGGCCTTAGGCAACTACTAATCTATTTTCTATCCCTATAGATTTGCCTGTTCTGGACATCTTCTACAAAGAGAATCATATAATATGTTGTCCTTTGGGGGTGGCTTCTTCCCAGAAACAAGTAATACATGGTCCTTTGGATCTGGCTACTTTTATTTAGCACATTGTTTTGAAGGTTTATCCATGTCGTAATACATTTCTTTTCTTACTGCAAAATAATATTCTTTTATGTGGATATATCACATTTTATTTATCCATTTATCAGTTGATGGACATTTATGTTGTTTCTACTTTTTGGACAGTATGAATAATGCTGCTGTGAATATCTGTGGAAACATATGCATTCATTTCTCCTGGGTGTTTACATGTAGGAGTAGAATAATCATTTAGGGAATTGCCAGACTGTTTTCCAAACATGCTGTACCATTTTCCAACTAGCAATATATAAGGGTTTCAGTTTCTGCACATTCTTTTTTTTTTCTTTTTTTTTATACTTTAAGTTCTAGGGTACATGTGCACAACGTGCAAGTTTGTTACATATATATACATGTGCCATATTGGTGTGTGCTGCACCCATTAACTCATCATTTACATTAGGTATATCTCCTATTGCTATCCCTCCCCCCTACCCCCTCCCCACAATAGGACCTGGTGTGTGATGCTCCCCTTCCTGTGTCCAAGTGATCTCATTGTTCAATTCCCACCTATGAGTGAGAACATGTGGTATTTGGTTTTCTGTTCTTGTGATAGTTTGCTGAGAATGATGGTTTCCAGCTGCATCCATGTCCCTACAAAGGACACGAACTCATCCTTTTTTATGGCTGCATAGTATTCCATGTTGTATATGTGCCACATTTTCTTAATCTAGTCTGTCACTGATGGACATTTGGGTTGATTCCAAGTCTTTGCTATTATGAATAGTGCTGCAATAAACATACGTGTGCATGTGTCTTTATAGCAGCATGACTTATGATCCTTTGGGTATATCCCCAGTAATGGGATGGCTGGGTCAAATGGTATTTCTAGTTCTAGATCCTTGAGGAATCGCCACACTGTTTTCCACAGTGGTTGAACTAGTTTACAGTCCCAAGTTTCTGCACATTCTTACCAACTCTTATTATTATCTGTCTTTATAGCCATCCTAGTGGGTATGAAGTATTATCATATTTTTATTTACACTTCCTTGATTGTTAATGATGATGCTGAGCATCTTTTTATCTGCTCATTGGCCATTTGTAATCTTCTTGGAAGAACTGTCTGTTCAGGTTCTCTTTCCATTTTTTAATTGGATTGTCTTTTTAATAATGGCTTATAATTTTTTATATATTCTGTGTACAAATTCCTTATCAGATATATGATTTGCAAGATTCTTTCCTCATTCCGTGGTTTTATCTTTTTACTTTGTTAATGGTGTCCTTTGAAGCATAACAGTTTTTAATTTTAATCATATCTATTTTTTTTCTTTTGTTGTTTATGTTTTTGGTGTCATGTCTAAGAAACCATTGCCTGTCCTAAATCAAGGACCAGGAAAAAAGCAAACGAGCAGACTCATTGACTAATTCAAGGTAAAAAGACTTACATCCATGTTTTCTTAGGAGAGTTTTAGGTTTAGGTCTTTCATCCACCAAAAGATCAAGACTATTCATCTTTTCCCTGTCAGTTATCTTGACAGAGGAAGTGATTCTTCAGCATTGTCTTTAAAGGAGAAATGTAAATAGCAGAAATGATAGCATTCCAGTCTGGCTTCTAGATAAATTATATGAAGTATATGAGATTAAGATAAGATATTTGGATCAGAGAGGTGTTTGCCTGTGGTGTATATAAGTCAGAGTTAAAATATGGAATTAGAGAATCAAGTTGTAGTGGTAGAAGTCTGTTAAGACATAACTGATTTTCTCAACCTCTTCTGTCAAAATAAGTTGTGGAATCTTCAGTGATTATAATAAGTGTGTGGAGAAATGGAGAGAAGTTTAAGTATACGAGAACTGCTCTACATTTATAAGATAAAGCCAAAAGAAAGCAGTTAAAGCAGAAATCGAGCTTAAAAAATGTAATTTATGATTTTATTTCCTTAAAATAAATATAGCAGCACAGAATTAGAGACAATTAACTCAGTGGCAAAGTAGTAGAAAGATTGTTAGTGAAGAGTCAGAAGTCCTTAGTTCTAATTGTAATCTATATTAGGTATGTGACCTTGAATAAATCATGGCCTTCTGAATGGTAGTTTGCCTTTACTGAGGCTCTAACATATGCAGGATTTTTGCAAGCCTCGATCTTCTCTTTTGTAAAATGGAGATAATGTCAGATTACTTTGGAAACTTTTTTAAAGAGCCATACACGTAGAAGGGATTATTATACTTGAAATTTGGAAATTATTCAGTGCAGTACTACTAGTAGCAGCTGATAGTACATACATCTTTACTCAAAACAATTATGTAAGGGATACTGTATTCTTGTTTTGAAGAAGAAGAAACCAGTTTTTAGTGATTATGAAAGTTATACTGTCATAGTCAACAGAGCAGTGATTCTAATCCTGTTCTTCCTGATTTCTTTATATCATCATGATTTTTGCTTGAAGGATAATAGATCCTGGTGGATAGGTATGGAAAGGGAATAGGATACTAGCAATGAGACTAAAATTATTAGACATATTAGACATATGAAAGCTTAAAGTATAATTCCAAAGGGGCAACGAGTCCTGAGATTGGTGATCTTAGAGGTGAAGTGGAAGAGTGCCATATGTTAATAAGGTTAAAGGTATATGCTATCTGATTAACTTATAAGTACCAGAACTAGATGTTGTAAAGCCCAGTCAAATAATAGGTTATCTGTGTGTGTGCTAGAATCTTTGTTCAGGAGTGAAAGGAAAGACAGAAGACCAGTGAGGTAATGAAGTCACAATGGGGAGCTGAGGTAAGTACAAGAGGCCAAAATAAATTACAGCTTGTAGAGATAGGTAGACTTTGCTTTGAACTATGAGAAAATCATTTCTTAGAATTAGTTCCCATATTTATACTCTTTGAAGACTCTTGTCACCCCACCAATAAAGGGCCTGTGGTTACTTTCCCAATGTCTTGGAACTAAGCTTCTCTTGAGTACTTTATAGCTCTGATCTCAGCTCTTTGCATACTTCTCACCCTTCCTGTGGTTGAGTTGAGAACTCCCATGAGTTAGGAAACATTATTTGGGAATATATGCCTAAGAGTCATAACAGAAAGGAAGTACAGAAAAGAGCAGAACAATTTTTATTTCTTGATTTATCCTATGCCATTGCCTTTTCAATGACGAGTTCAACGTTTAAGCTTTACTCGGGCTATTAAGTTATCAAGCAGTGGACATGCTTCTCTTGGATAGAGCTGAGGTGTGGAGATGTCAGCTGGCACAGGGGAAGCAAATAACTTTGAACTCTAATTCTGATTAGCAAACTTGCAATTTCTGCATAGAAGTTCATAGTGATTGGTATCTAGGAGAATACATCTGAGATGGAAGTATGGAACAGGAAAGGTAACTAGTATATATTGGGTCCAGGCTCCATAGAGGGCAGTCTGAAACATGTGCAGACTAGGAAGTCTTCAGAGATCACAAAGACCTGAGCTGTTCTCATTTACACTGCTCTGTTTCTCTAAAATGGCAGGACTGGGATTCAGAAGAAACAACTGAGTTGAGAAACATCATTTGAGAGAAAACTAATGCTGTATGCTAATCTTGCATGTAAGTGCTTGTGTACTTAATTAATGATGAGGAATAGCAAAAGAGGGAACCAAAAGTAAGAATCTTAAATCTAATTTACCCTTTTCCTATGTAGTATTTAAGATCAGGGAATCTGAAATTAGACTCCTCCGGTTTTCACAATATTTCCTTCTTTCATTAACTTAGGCAACAGGACATCGAACCTGTTTGGTGTAAAGGAAACTAATAGTAGGGAAAAAAAAAATTTAGGCTGTTTTACATGGAGATTATATGCTAATTGCCAGACTGCTTGCCAGTGAGTTCAGTCTTGTATTGTGTGCTGACCAACTTGGGACAAAAATGGAGATTAGATACTTAATATTTGGTAATAATATGCTAAGGGACCTGCTCCTTATCTGTTGCCTAGACTGTCTCTCTTCCAGTATCAAGTCAGGTTACCAGAAAGCTACAGGCTTAAACTGTGTTCCTTCAGCTCATGTAGAAACTCACTCACTGAACTATGATTTTATAAGCCCGTGGTTATTGTTATAGATGGTTATAAGAGTCATCTGTGGGCCGGGTGCAGTGGCTAACATAATCTCAGCGCTTCGGGAGGCTGAGGTGGGTGGATCACTTGAGGTCAGGAGTTCTAGACTAGCCTAGCCAACATGGTAGAATTCCATCTCTACTGAAAATACAAAACTTAGCCAGGTGTGGTGGTGCATGCCTATAATCCCAGCTAGTCAGGAGGCTGAGGCACAAGAATCTCTTGAATCTGGGGGAGGCTGCAGTGAGCCCAGATCGTGCCACTACACTCCAGCCTGGGAGACAGAGTGAGATTCTGTCTCAAAAAAAGAATCATCTGTGAAGGATGTCTTTTCATCTGTAAAAAAAAAATAATTCTTAAAGATTTTAGTTAGGCTGGTCATGGTGGCTCATGCCTTTAATCCCAGCAGTTTGGGAGACCAGGGTAGGTGTGTCTCTTGGGCCCAGGAGTTTGAGACCAGCCTGGGCAACATGGCGAAACCCCATGTCTACAAAAAATACAAAAATTAGCTTGGCGTGGTGGCGCGTACCTGTAGTCCCAGCTGGTCAGGAGGCTGAGGTGGGAGGGTCACTTACCCAGGTGGCGGAGGTTGCTGGGAGCTGAGATTTCACCATTGAACTCCAGGCTGGATGACAGAGTGAGATCCTATCTCAAACCAACAAACAAACAAACAAAAAATTTAATTATTAGTTCTTCTTATATAAAAGCTCACGTGTAAATTTCTCCTCCAGTTGAGATAAATTCTATTCTTAAACACTTTTTTTTTAATCGCTAATGAAAAAAAAATACAATGAGACCATCCTATCTCCATTTTTGCTTTGGTTGCTAGAAAACTCAAAAGTGTTCACTTGCAGTAGCTAGCCTTGGTTTATGTATCTGGTTCAGTTGTCTGCTTCCCTGTCTCCCATTATAACTTTTATTCTTTAATCGTAGTTTTTATTGAAAGTAATTTTTATTAAAAGTTTTTTTAAAACAAATGAATTTTACAAGTCATTTTAAATTCCTGTTTGGAAGTAAAGTAGATTATTGATTAGTAACTGGTACTGCAACAGAATTGTGTAATATGCAAAGATCTATTCCAGGAATACTGCTTCCTAATTAACGTGACGCCTGAGCAGAGATTTGCCTTTTGAAACATACAGTGTTAGAACTGAAGAGCCAAATGTGAAAATTGAAAACTCTCTTTCTTTTTTCTTTCTTTTTTTTTTTTTTTTGGCAAAGTCTCACTCTGTTGCCCAGGCTGGAATGCAATGGCGCGATCTCGGCTCACTGCAACCTCCGCCTCCTGGGTTCAAGTGATTCTCCTGCCTCATTCAGCCTCCTGAATAGCTGGGGTTATAGGTGCCCATCACCACGCTCGGCTAATTTTTGTATTTTTAGTAGAGATGGGGTTTTGCCGTGTTGGCCAGGCTAGTCTTGAACTCCTGTCCTCAGGTGGTCTGCCCACCTCAGCCTCCCAAAGTGCTGGGATTACAGGCGTGAGTCACTGTGCCAGGCTGAGCTCTCTTTCTTTTAAGAAAGAAGTATAGTTCTGGAGTTTATATATATTATTTCTGCCCTAAGATATATGATTCATAGGCCAATGGTTTCTAGCCTGTGCACTTAGATCCTTGGTTACAGTGGAACTATTTTAAGTGGTCAACTTTTTAATATCACTGAATATTAGTTGATATCAAGAAATTATGGTAAATTTAATAGGTGTGAGAATGGTATTATAGTTATTTAGGAGAATGGCTTTAAATTTTGGAGATATGCGCTGAAGTATTTTGGTGTGTGTGTGTGTGTCTTAGTTTATAGGGCTACTATAACAAAATGCCCTAGACTGGGTAGTTTAAAAACAACAGAAATTTATTTCTCACAGTTCTGGAAACTGGAAAGTCCAAGGTGCCAGCAGATTTGGTGTCTGGCAAAGGCCTGTTTCTCATAGATAGGTGTCACTATCTTGCTGCATCATCACATGGTGAAAGGGGCAAGAGAATTCCCTCAAGCCTTTTTTTTTTTTTTGAGATGGAGGCTTGCTATGTTGCCCAGGCTGGAGTGCAGTGGCGTGATCTCAGCTCACTGCAACCTCTGCTTCCTGGGTTCAAGCAATTCTCCGTTTCAGTCTCCCGAGTAGCTGCGATTACAGGTGTGTGCCACCACGCCCAGCTAATTTTTGTATTTTTTTCATAGAGATGGGGTTTTGCTATGTTGGCCAGATTGGTTGCTGGTCTCGAACTCCTGACCTCAGGTGATTCGCCCTCCTCAACCTCCCAAAGTGCTGGGATTACAGATGTGAACCACCACGCCCGGCCCCCCCTCTAGCCTCTTTTATAAGGCAGCAGTCACATTCATGAGGGTGAAGCCCTTATGACTTAATCACTTTCCAAAAGCCTCACCTTTTAACACTATCACATTGGGTATTAGGTTCCAACATATGAATTTTGGGGAGACATGCAGACCATAGCAGTGTGGATGATCATACGTAATTTACTTTAAGTGGTTTAGGGGTGCATATGTGTGAAGGTGAAGCAAATATGGCAAAAGGTTAACAGTTGTTGAATATAGGTGGTAAGTATATGGCTGTTTATTATGACATCTTTTCTGTTTTTTTCAGTATATTTGAAATTTTTTATGATTAAAAGTTAGAGAAAGGGTGCTCATACTTGAATAATTGTGGCCGGGCACAGTGGCTCACACTTGTAATCCCAGCACTTTGGGAGGCTGAGCCGGGTGGATCGTGAGGTCAGGAGTTCGAGACCAGCCTGACCAACACAGTGAAACCCTGTCTCTACCAAAAATACAAAAATTAGCTGGGCGTGATGGCGGGTGCCTGTGATCCCAGCTACTCAGGAGGCTGAGTCAGGAGAATCGCTTGAACCTGAGAGGCAGAGGTGGCAGTGAGCCAAAATCGCGCCACTGCACTCCAGCCGGGGCAACAGAGCTAGACTCCGTCTCAAAAAAAAAAAAAAAAAAAAAAAAGAAAGGAAAAGAATAATTGTCATTACTAGTCCAGCCTTCATTTTTTTAAAGGAGAAGTTTCATAACCATGATTCAACGGCTTAGACTTGTTTTTGCCTAGCATTGTACAACTAGCATAAAGGGATAAGTAACTAAAGTATTAAACAATTGTGTGATAAAATTATTGCCACAGTTTTCACTATCCTGAATGACTCTACAGTGTAGCATTCTGGCAGGCTCCGTACAGGATACAGATATGTCCTGCCAGTTGCAGATGCAGATGAGTCAGTAGAATTGATAGTTTGGCATTTGTGCCAGTAGGTACCAAGTGAACATGGTGATCACTTGCTCGTCTGCCTCATAGTCCCTGCATGAGATCCACAGCCTAAACCCAGGTGACCCAGCAGATTTTTGGGTCATTTATAAGATCAAAAAACAAATTATCTACTTTCTTTCCCAACAAGTCATATGAGAGACAGAAGAGGGTATAGAATGAGTAAAATTCCCGTTTCTACTGTGGCCAAAGTACATTACTTAAGGTCTACAGATAAGAGGAAGTCTTTTGGCTCTACTCCATGTAGACTTTTCTTTCTCTGATGTTCCAGGAGTCCCCCCAGAAGGTCAACAGGCTTCTACCATGTTGCCAGCTTTGAGTGAAATCACTGCCAGGCTGCAAGATGTGCCAAATAACCTGCTGTACTGTATTGTAGCAGATGATAGTGGGGAAAGCAGAGACCTCATAGAGGCTGCTCCTCTCCTTTCTGTTTTGAGTCGTGAGACCACTACTTAGGATATAACAGAAGCTAACCTGTTTTTCACTTGTTCTTTTACATGCAAACTTTTTAAACGTATTAGATATTCATAATCCCTGGTTCTCTTTGCTTTTTTTAAATTTTTTTATTTTATTAAGAGAGTCTTGACTCTGTCACCCAGGCTGGAGTGCAGTGGTGCAATCATAGTTCATAGCAGCCTTGAACTCCTGGGCTCAAGAGATCCTCCTGCCTCAGCCTCCCAAGTAGCTAGGACTACAGGTATGTGCCACAACACCTGGGGTTTTTTTTCTTTTTTTTTCTTTTTTTTGTAGAGACAGGGTTTTACTGTGTGCCAAGGCTGGTCTCAAACTCTTGCCTCGAGCGATCCTCCTGAGTCAGCTCCCAAAGTGCTGGGATTACAGGAGTGAGCCACCACACCTGGCCCCTTTTAGCTTGCTTAAACACTTTTTTGGTGAAGTGTGTATGTGTTTAGTTAACATATTGTTAGAATATTCTTTCATTAAACATTTGAATGTTAACAATGTAATGTATATATGTTCTCATAGTTATTTTTCTTTCTGATTTTTGTGTTATAAAATATTTCGAACAGAGGCCAGGCGCAGTGGCTCATGCCTGTAATCCCAGCACTTTGGGAGGCCGAGGCAAGCGGATCACGATGTCAGGAGATTGAGACCAGCCTGGCTAACACAGTGAAACCCCGTCTCTACTAAAAATATAAAAAATTAGCCAGGTGTGGTGGCGGGCACCTGTAGTCCCAGCTACTTGGGAGGCTGAGGCAAGAG